ATATGGGAACAGGCCAGATGCGACCGTCGTCCAACGGTAATTAAAATTTTACGACATAATGGGAATCTTGAGGTTCACGAGAAGGGCACTATAATCTGTGCCAGCAAGCCTGCACAGGGACCTTATCCAGGTCTTGATCTCAGATCAGCCCTTTTACATAGACTTCATCCTGATACTTAAAAGCCTAATGCTTTGGGTAAGCTGCCCCGAGTGCACGTATAGAGCCCTCCCTATTATCCAAATAGGTATCGGAACTGCAGGCATGCTCAATAACTGTTGCGCATTGCACAAATCTGCTAAGCCGTTGACTTAAAGTCCACTACCAAATCTCCTCTTTGGTGGCGGAGCTGCAGGCACGCTCACCTCCCGACGCCGAAGCATCGCTCCCAGTTCCCAGAAACCTACGCCCCTGGAGGGATTGGATGGTATCTAGCTCATCTTCTACTAGCTCTCCGGGCTAGTGCCGGAGATGTCGCAGTGTCCTGTGATAATGTCCGGACATAGCTTCCAACTTAAAGGGCAACTCACATGCCCCGCCTCACATGCCGCACATGCTCCATCATCGGGGGACCAGACGTAGGCTGGAGTTCCTAACCTACACTTCTGCATTTATATGGAGTGGAATTCCCTGCCTGCAGACTTGTTCCCTAACGGTATAACTTGGGCCCTTTAAAGCGAGAGTGAATAGGTTTAGACGTGTATGCTCCATCGTCGACCTCGTCGTTACTTTTCATCAAGTGAGACGGAGGTCAAATGCGCACTTTTGTTCAAGAAATAGATAAATTTTAATACGATATTTTCGTTGTAAGATACATCGGGCGTTTACGTGATCATATGATCATATTGTCTGGCTCTGAATCACTTCACATATTATGTATATATTTTGAGGTTATAGTTATTTGCAGGACTTACTTATTATGTTATTATTGTTTCTTTTTCCATTTTCAGATGGCAGAATAAGCTTGAAGGCGAGTCGTGTTATCGAGAAAATTGTTCTTTAGACATTATGAAGTTTGTTTGTTATATTAATTTTCAATTAAATATATAACTTATTTATTTAGGTATCTAATGGCTTGAGTAAATAAATGTGGAGTACATTAGCATGTGAAGGTGTTTTATTTTACTATACAAGGTCGTAATTTACAACCCGAGAGTTCGTCCAGGGAAGTACTGCTACCTTACCTATTTCTGCCGCCAAGCAGTAATGTCAGCATTACTGCGTTACGGTTTTACTTAAAGGTTTTTAATTATTAATACAAAGATAGCACACTCAGAAAAAATTCCTTCGATCCGGTCGGATCGACGTCTTCTTGCATAGCGTTAGCCAGACGCTATACCAACTAAGCCAAGAACGAACCAACGGACCTCACGAATTCTTCTATGTGCTTGCGTCGTGGTTTGTATTTGGTTTTTCAACGATTTTTTAGTCGTAGCGCCATCTATGAGAAATCTATGAAAGATTTATCACCCAGTTAGTACCTTTACAGCTACCAGTCTTGGCGAGAGATGTGGCTATTCACTGTATTAATTAAATTTTTTCTGAGTGTTCGATCTTTGTATTAATAATTATAACAAACTAGTGGAGTAATTTCACAAAAAATAATTTAATATCAATTCAATAAAAATGTTATTAAAGGTTTTTGTCAACTTGTGCCTCAGTGTAATGTCGGTGGCGTGGTGTCAGTGACCTTCAGATCTTTCAAATTAAAGCTCTGAGTGGCACCAGGCCGACGATTTGCTTGTACCGTCACTTCGTGTTTTAAAAAGGTTAGAAAATCTTGGTATGTGAAAAGTTAGACCTTGTTAATAAAGCTATCTTTTTGGGAGTGACCTTAGATAGTAAACTCCAATGGTTTCCACATATATCTTCCTTGGCCAGCAGATTAAGCTCTGTTGCATACGCAGTCCGTACAATACGTGAACTTACCGATCCCGCTAGACTAGTTTACTTTAGTTACTTACATAGTATAATGTCCCACGTTCTTGCTCGTTCTTTTCACGGAGGTCAGCGTAGTGAACGAGCAGCAGCTTAAAAAATTACGTTTTCAAGTGTAAAAATGTTATCTATGGAATAAATGATTAGTTGACTTTGACATTGACTGTGAAAAAATAAAAAAACTTGATACTTGAATCTTAGGGGCGACAGCGGATCTTCAAAACGAATTATTTCAATATAGCACAAGAATACTGTGATGATAGCCTAGTTTTTTTAATTTAAGAATAACAACCTTTAATTACAAGCAATCATAATCAGTTGTTATGAGCGTGACAAAGTCAGGGGAAAACATGCAGTATTTTTTTCTGAACACAATTTCAAATTAAATGTTAAATATCATGATTTTCCTTTTTTAAGAGGCTCATAATTTACCATGCCACGCTGAGGTCCCAGGTTCGATTCCCGGGCCGGGAGAAATATTTGTATGGCCTACATTTATTTCTCTCGTGAGTTTGGGTTGGGCTGGGTTTGGTAAAATATGTTGTACATTTTAGACATATTTTTTAGAAGTTTCTGTTTGGGATAACTGTTGTGCTTTTGTTTTTTTTGTCTCCCTTGAAACGTTTATTTTATTCTTTTTCGTTCTTTTTTTATTCCGCTTTTTACCATTTAAAGAAAATTTTAACTTCCGTTTTGAAATTGACAATCGCTATTGGTTTTTATCGTGTAAATTATTATTAACATTTAGGTCTGTGCTAATTTTGTTTTATAAATTACCTGTTACACAAACGTGAGACCGTAGCTCTTGCCAGGGAGGTTCTGGCTAAAAATCAGTGAACAAAAAAAACTAAGTTTGCATAGCATACACTGAGCTTCCAATCCTTGCCACACGTCTGTGACCATAAATATAGATTTGTGTTTTTAGTTACCTACTATTTATATGTTAGATTTTTCATTTGTATGTTTTATGTTTTTTTTTTGGTGTGTGGCAAATAAATAAAGTTTGGAATTTAATTTGTTGTTATCGAGTTCTTAGGTTTTAGCGATTGTTACACATAGGAAATGAAACTATTTTTCTGGATTTAAATCGCGTATATTTGTTTTTTAAACAAACCGACGTTTACAGGGCCCTTTACAGGTCCCATGGTCACGGTTGACTGAGGTGGTACAGTCTTCAACCAGTTATGTCTAATATTAATGCAAACCACCCTATCTTTTCACTATAGTTACAATAGTTATTAACCAAATACCTTATTTTTAATTTTACAAAGAAAACATTCAAATTTACGCTACATAAAGTTTTACAAATTATTTTATTGAATGAATTTTTATTAAGTTCAATTTATTATTAATTTTTAATAGAAATTAGAATAAACTAAAACATATTAATTAGTACTGCAGTCTTATGTCTGTTTGGAATTTTTCATTAGAGAAAATACTCACGTCGGTTTGTTTGAAAAAACAAATATACGCGATTTAAATCCGGCTTAAAAATAGTTTTATTTCCTAATTTGTTGTTGTTTAAGTGTGTGTCCATGGCACCCGCGACGGGTTTCCCTAGTACAGTGCTATGTTGAGTGTGTTGTGCGTTATTATTATTAGTTACATGGTTTTTTAAATGTGATATCTCAGGGACCATATAAGGAACAGTGTATAATAATATTATAATTGTCAAATTACACTTTGTTCTATTTATTACTTTACCTTACCTTATACTACGTTTGCCGAGCCGTGGTCTCCACTCAAGAACTCGTTTTCCCCATCGGTTATCGATTCTACTACGATTGCCTCTTCTATTAGGGAAGATAGACAAGTCGATTTCAAACCTCTGTAAGCGTACACGCATACCCATGCTAATACATTAGGTTATTTACTTAATTCGAAAAAGTCTACTTAACCTTTAAAAAAGTAATACATTTAGATTGGAGAAAATTTCCCTAAGTAATTCCAGAAATATTGCAATGTATTTTTAACCTCCGACACAAGAAAAGGGGAGATAGTAGAGGCCATTATGTCGTGACGACAGATAGTTGTGCGGTTTAAAGTGTTGTGGCTTGTATATTTAAATGAAGTTGTTCATAATACAGTGCAACATTACAATGACAGATTGTCGTGACAATGGGAAGAGCTAGAATGACAGTTGTCTTACGATAAATAAAACGTCAGTGATGACAGATAATCGCAACTTCAAACGGATAAATTGTCGCTACGATCTAGTGGGAACACCTAGACACGACAGTCGTTCAACGATAACATAAACGTTCATGACACAGTCACGACAGATAGTCGTGATATGGGGACAAGTTAGACACGACAGTCGTTACGACAAACGTTACGACATAATGGTAACGCGTCCTTACGATTGCTTTATTGTAGATTGATGAAATGTATATATTTATACACTCAAATTACAAAACAAATACATAGGAAATTAATGTTATAACCGATTCCTAGCACATAATAAATAGTATCGAATGTGACATTGCAAGGTTTAATTCGAAGGAAAAGTTGACAACCAAATGTATAATTGTTCTATTGTAGATCGTTAAAATAATTAATCACACACAGTAATAAGTGATTCAATCTTTCACCAACCAAGCACCGGCCATTTCCGTCAAATGTCTTTTTAAAACCGATACTATAAGGTAGAGTGGAGTGGAGAGATGAGGTTGCGGAATCGGCCGGCGTTCAAAAGATCCGAAAGGCTAGACGTGAAAATCACTGCATTTACGAGATTGCTCAAATACGAATTTGTAATCAGTTAGTGCGTTTACGCACTTCATACAATTCGTATTCGTTCCGAATCCGAGACTAGAAAACTCCGACTCACTTCGGTTGTTGGTTGTGCACTAAGTCCGATTCAAATTCGAGAAAAAGTACTAAAAATATATTAATAAATCAGGAAAGAAATTTCAGTACCCCGTTAGTTTGCCCTTGCACATTTTGTACTTGGTACTGAAATTTCCAAAAAAACTTGACGTCAGCTATTGATTTCGCTGAAGCTTTTGATTATTGGGCGTAAAATATTTTTACTCATCAATAAATTTTCAGTTCTAATAGAGAAGCTCCTGCGCTCGTGCGGTGACGTGGACACTATTTACGTTTTGGTCAGGGGTAAGAAAGGCAAAGATGCGAGGGCAAGACTGCATGAAATGCTGGATGAGTTTGTAAGTATACAATACAATATACGGTATATAGTTTCCTTGAACCCATTTCCATACGTCACAAAGATACCAAAGATTAGATAGGACGACTTGCGCGCAAGCATTTATTGCGCGAACATCGGCGCCTAGGAACTGTCGAAAACTGCAAAAGACTCAAAATATATCAGTTTTAGAACGTTTGTGATAGATAGATTGTACACTACATTTTGGCATAGTTTAGATGAAATTTGGTGTTCCTCAGGGCACAAAATTTGAACCTTTTTTATTTAATATACATACATAGAGATATTAAAATTAATTTCGTGCTATTCTTATTCTTATTCACATTTCCTTTTTAATAAAATTTTGCACGCAATACGTATAAATAATAATTGCAGTGATCTTTACGAAGAACGATATAAAAGCAAAACTAAATAAAAAAGGACAGAGTGTTCTGCCCTGAGGAACACCAGATTTGTCGATAAAACTCCGCTAATGTTGTTTTAATTTCAGTTGTTCCAACGTGCTCATGAGGAGAATCCCAAAGGCATCCACAAAGTAGTACCCATTGTGGGAGATATGGAACTACCAGGATTGGGCCTCAGTGATGAGGACAGGAAAACTCTCACCAGCAAAGTTAGTACTTAGATTTATAATCAAAACATCGAGTATATAACCAGAAATAGAGACGAAATGTCATTTAATTTGTTTGAAAACTATTCTGCCAAATCATTACGGTGACAACTACGCTCCGATAGGCCAGCCCGAATTCGAAACAATTGATGGGTGTCGTCATTTGTTTCACTTCAAATCCACCAGTTTAACTTGAGCTTTGCTATAATGGACGATAATTGAAAAATTACATATTTAATGAAATGTGATTCTGTTTGTTTTGTAATTAGATGTTTTCCCACACCACCGAATGGAACAGACCCCCATAGTAGATTGGTTGAGATTCCCCCATCGTGATTTCAACAAACGAGACTTGATATTTAAAAGTGATATAAGGCTGTTTTGCCTGATGCGTTATCAGGGATGGATGGCCCATATTTCGTCTCTATTTCTGTATATATACTCCGTGGATCAAAACCAATATTCATTCAAAACAAATTTTATACACCATTGGCAGCCTTGATTTTAGTTTTCTTTTGTACCATTTGTTAATAAATAATTATTTATTATAGGTGACAATTATTATAAATGCAGCTGCAACGGTTAGATTCGACGAGAAACTTTCAATTTCTGCTGGAATCAATGTGCGAGGTACACACAACGTGATACAACTCGGGAAGGAATGTCGTGCACTGCGTGCACTATTGCATGTATCCACTGCGTTTGCGCATACGAATCTTGACAATATTGAGGAAAAGTAAGCATTTTGTGACGAAATTCGTTACCCTTTAACAAAGCCAAATAAAACTTCTTTTTCTACAGGAAAGTCATCTTATGAACGACCAATTACGTTTGTAGAATCTATAAAACTCTCTACCGATAAGTTGTCGTTTTGCAAAATTGGCCTTATTACAACAAAAGTAGTTTTTGTTTTTTGGTGTAATGTATTTTTTTGTGATACCAAATGGGAACAAGCACGGCTTGTTGGTAACCGATATATCTTTCGATTGCAATTGCAGCATCACTCTAAGCTTTAAATCGCAAAGGCCAGAGGCGCACTACCATCGCGCCCATCACCCTGAGACATAAGTTGAAAAGTTCCATGTGCCTGTAATTTCACCAGCACCCTTGACCTTCAAAATTGGGGCGCGGTAATGCTCATATCATTGCTTGGCGGCAGAAATTGGTAAGATAGCAGTACTTCCCTGGATGAGCTATTTCACAAGGACCTCAGGTCAAGCTGCTTATTTAGAAAATAGAAAACTATTCGGGCAACCTTAAAAAGTTGTCCGTTGTTAAAACATTAACATCAAAGAAAGTAAAAGTAAAAGTTCTAGATCGATGCTTTCTGTCAGCGTAACAAAAACTTATCGTGTGTCGGAAGTGGTAGTTACGGTTTTGAAGGGTACATGGTACTTTTGAACTTATGTCTCAGGGTGAAGTGCGTCGTGGCAGTGCCCTCTCTAGTCTTTACGATTTAAAGCTACGATTGGCACTGCAGCACGCCACATAGCAGTAGCACGACTTGTTCGTCGCGTCATAAAAAAATACGACTATGACTAATTGCTAAGTTTGTAAATGCATACATACATTTGTTACAATACCTCTTGGTAACAAGTCTTACGTGTTAAGTCCCCAATCTGCATTAGAGAGACTTCGAGTACTTCGAGGCGTCTATTTTGCGTGTGGTGGGTCTTACTCGTGCCACCCAAGCTCCTCCAGGAATCTCAGCAGCCTCCTCGGTTTGCTGAAGACTTCGGGGAGCGACCTTGGCACTCCAAGGTTTGCCCTGTAGTTGGCCACTCCGGAGCACTCTAGTAGAATGGGCGCGGCCGTTTCCTCCCCCTCCGTGCACGCTCTATATAGAGGGCTGTCCGTGATACCTAAATTGAAAAGGTGTTTATTGTATGGACCATGACCCGTTAGAGCGGCAGTAGGCACATTTTGAATAATATTTTGAGGTTATGTTAACCGTCTTTGGTCGGCCATTTTCAATTATATTAATTGTTTCAGATTCTACGACCCGCCAATGAGTGTTGAAGCTTTGGAAGCCATTGCGAAGCTGGATGAAGGTCTAATCGAGGCCATTTTGCCTAAGTAAGTACAATTATTATTTTTGAATAAGTAAATATTAGACGGTCTCTGTGATTGAGTGATTTGTACACCGGTTTACATGGTGTCGCCATCTTTGAGGTCTAGGGTTCGATCCCCGTCTCGGGTCTGCAACGTATGTTGTCTACTAATATTTATTTGAAATAAATCTTCATCTTGGAGGCCACAAAGGCATTTTCCTTGCAGAAGATTTGATGCATATTAGTATGTTCACATGTGAGATTTTTATTCTTATATTGAATTCTCTATTTTGCCAGGCTTCTGGGTAAAAGGCCGAACACATACTGTTACACGAAAGCTATTGCTGAAGAAGCAGTAAGGATATACGGCGAAGGTATGCCGGTTTGCATTCTCAGACCTTCCATAGGTGAGTTTGATATTGACGTCTATTCTCGATCTGAAATAAAGTTTCTACGTACTTTGACGATAAAAATCATGATACTGTTCATTTAGCTCTTTCAGAGTGTTTCTGTTCATGATATTTGTAATAAATATAGTAAATAATTAATGTGTTTACTTACAAAGAGCAGTTCCTAGAGTTTCTTGCTTTCTCTTCTCGGGGGAATCTGCCTTACCAATGAGTAGTTGAGTGAAATCAGTATTGAGGTGTGACTCATTTACCTATGAAAAATAAAACTTTGATTTTAAAACAATATAAATTAAGGAGATTAAAAATAATAATGTCTACGTATGTTGAGAACATAAAATTGCATAATAATATTTTTAACAATCGTTACTTTTTCTATGAATAAATTAAAATGAAGACACACAACCAATATTTAACGTATATTTAGTTAACATTGCACTACAACAAACTCAAACGAAAGCTGAACAAATGCTACAAAACGAAAAACAAAAACAAATAGAAGTGTTCGTTATAGGCCAAGTACCGCTTATATTTTAACCAATCAGGAGGCAGTAAAGTGTTTTGAGTAGCGTGAGAATTGATATTTTAATTAGCAAAAATACATATTTTTTTAAAGTATTTCGGATCAGTAGCGAGTACCATAGACAATACAATTTTGGTTCTAAAAGGAGCGCCTTTGCGATATGGTTTATGAAATTTAATTGATAGATAAATGTACAGGAGTAGAAAAAAGGTTATTTGAGTTTTAATCGACGCCATTGAATATTTTTCAGTGGTATCTACTTACGAGGAGCCAGTACGAGGGTGGACTGACAGCCTTTATGGACCTACGGGCCTCATCATTGGTACAGGAACTGGGGTAAGTCGGTTTTAGTTGACTTGAAAAACATAAAGTAGGATTGCACTAAATGAAACTGCACTGTAATTGATTTAATAATTTAAATTGCAATTTAACAACCTATCACGAACTCGATTTTCTTTTGCGTGTAATATATTTATTTATTTATTTATTACATATTGCTTACAGTCAACCCAAACGCAATAGTAAGACTTAAAGCTAAATGTACAATCAATCTTAAGTCAATTACAAAAGTGAATAAAATATGAAAATTGACAAAATTATGAATACAATACCATAAACAATAAATCATTACAGATTAACATTAATGACAAAAAAAAGATAAAAACTTTTTGTTATTACATTTTAAACTAACACTTAATACTACTGTCTCCGGTCAAGGACTCCAGATAGTGTCCTGCGGAAAATATGAATTTTGTTTCTGAGCATGCAAAGAGGTCCAATGAGGAGTCGAAAGCAACTGATTTAGATACCTAAGTGCACGGGGCAGGGGGGCCATCTCACTCACTCTACATCGTGTGTTAGGTAGTGCAAATAACCTCATTCTATGAAGTCGCACCAGATTAGTTCTAGGTACCATAAAGCCTACCTTGGACAACAAAAATGGGTTGTATATTATTCCCCGTACCAGACGAAACACATAAGTTACAAGAGCCAGATTGCGTCTCACTTCTAGCATTCTATAATTTACCATACCTAAAATAAATGCTGTGGGATAAAGTAAGGGGTAATATCCGTACATCTTCTTGTATAAGTTTCGAGCAAATGTCTTCTGAATTTTCTCTAATGTTTGTGTGTGGTTGTGATGGACGGGGTTCCAAATGATAGCGTTACATTCCAATTCTTTCCCGAAATGTTTTCCGAAATAACGTTTGTTCGAATTTTCATTACACCGAAAACCTAAAAGAATTATAACGAAACCGTTGTTCTTTCAGGATATGTTTGATGTTTACCGCAAAGACAAGATTAGGTTCGGTTAGGTTAGGTCAAGTTAGATTTAAAAGAAAGAAACACTTTCCTCTCAAAATTACTTTTGAGGCTATGAAAATTCGAGGAAACGTTATTTCTGGAAAACGTCATTTCGGACTATTGATAAGTAACCATTTTATTTATTTAGTGCCTAATTGTCTACAATTATTTGTTTTGATTTTTGTTGCACCGAAATATGTATTTGAATGGCAAAATAACAGTGAGGAATTACTGTCACTTCTTTAATCAACGCGTCTCACACTTTACAGGATGTAAAAAAATAAATTAAAAAATCAGCTTTTAATGACAAAGAGGAAAAAATAAATTCAAGTTAAAATAATATAATCTCAGTACAGAGAACTAAAAAAAACGACCTCAAAAGTACGTGGAATTACATCTATTTGCCAAGTTTTATTGAAATTTAGTTCGTCACTATACGGGACTTGACACAGGAGATAATAAAAATCGGTTTTCACTATTCAAAGTATATTGAGAGAGAAAAACGTCTTGAATTGCAGAATAGCAAAATCAACCATTAAAATAATTGCTCCTTATAAAAAACTTAGGCGCCATTTATGAAAATGAATCTTCATGCGTCAACAGCCACCCTTAGAGGTGGATGATTTTCTTCGAAATGAAATGGGACCGCTATGAAGGTACCCTCTTTCCAACAAAAAAAGAATAATGAAAATCAGTTCAGAAGTACCGGAGTTATCGCGTAACATACACACAAAAAAACATACAGTCGAATTGAGAACCGAGTCCTTTTTTTGAAGTCGGTTAAAAAAAACATACAGTCGAATTGAGAACCTCCTCCTTTTTTGAAGTCGGTTAAAAAGCATGATTACTCTGGTAATTAGTATGACCCGAAATGACCATGCTGACCATGACTTTGTCAAGAGGACTTGACATTATTTTTTTACCTTGAATTTATTTTTATTTTTTTTTTTTTTACTTTTTTGTTTGCATGTCCAATAAAGCCAACTTTGTTTTTTTTTAATTTTATTTTTTATATCTTGTAAATTGCGAGAAGCATTGGTTTGTTTGGAAAAGATTTTTTAATTTTATTTCAGGTCCTCAGAACGATGTACATGAATCTAGAGAAGACTGCGGACATGGTACCTGTGGATCTCTGCGTCAATGCCATTTTGTCGGCTGTTTGGTATACAGCTAAGAACTTTAAGGAAAAGTAAGTAATATTTTAGAATTTACAATCAGTAGAAGTAATAGAGTGAATTATACCGCTCTTTGAAATTTGAAGAAATAAAACTACTAAACCTCAACCGCATTGTTATTTTAAAAAAGTTAGAAAATCTTGGTATCTGAAAAGTTAGACCTTTTTAATAAAGCTGTCTTTTTGGGAGTGACCTTAGATAGTAAACGCCAATGGTTTCCACATAATCTTCCTTAGCCAGCAGATTACGCTCTGCTGCATACACAGCCCGTAGAATACGTGAGCTTTCCGATGTTGCTACTGCTAGACTAGTTTACTTTAGTTGCTTTCGTTGATATTTGTGTTGCAAAAACGAGCGATTCGTTCTGTATACCGTTTAGATTCTCGGGTTTCTCTCAGAGAAAAGTTTAAGGCGACTGGTATCATGACTGTGGCATCACAGTACATTTACTCAAATATTTTGTATGCTCGTAACAATATACATAATTTTATTAAGAAAGAAGATATCCATAATATTAACCTTAGAACTAAGTCAAAGTCATGGTACCACGATTTCGTTTAACGAAGGTAAACGATTCTTTTATGGAGAACTGATAAGATTCCGGAGCATATATTAAGTTTACCATTCGTAAGTTTAAAACTTACAATAGAAGTATTTTAATTGAAAATTCATATTACAAAATTGTAGACTACGTGTTAGAATGCATGGAAACACAACGTGTGCCTAGATTCCACACAAATATGATTCAAAGTGTATTCCATAGCATTTAAGTTTATTTGAAAAGAGCAATCCCTAGAGTTTCTCGCTTGTTCTTCTCTTTATCGTGAGCAAACGGGCAGAAGCTTCAAAAATGGCTTTATCAAGTGTAAAAATTTTACTTCGAATAAACGATTATTTGACCTTGACTTTGGCAGTGCACAAAAGCGTTAACAAAGTACCTATACATTATTTGACGCATGTATAGATAGAGTTTTTAATCTAAATTGCGTAGGTATATTTGTTTTTTCAAACAAACCAACGTTTAGAGGCCCATTTCAGGTCCCACGATCACTGGGATGGTAAAGAACACAACCGAGATTATTTAAAAATAGCAGATTTGGGGCCCATTTGATATTTAAAACAATCTGTTTTATTATTTACAGTCAAACATCAGACATTCCCATCTATAATTTCGTGTCAGGCGCGCAGAATCCAATCACATGGGGTGAATTTATCGATGTTAATCGGAAACATGGCATTGACAAACCTACTGTGAAAGCTGTTTGGTAAGTACGGTAGGCCATTGATACACTATAGAATAGAGTCCCTCCGGGCATCGAGTATATAACCTGAAATAGAGACGAAATGTCATTTAATTTGTTTGCAGACTATTCTGCCAAATCATTACTGTGACAACTGCGCTCCGATTGGACAGCCCCAATTCGAAATAATAATTACATATTTAATATATAATTACCGATGAAATGTGACTCCGTTTGTCTAGTAATTACATGTTTTGCTGTTTTTCCCACATCACCGAATGGAACAGCTCTCTATTGTTAGATATATTATCTTTATTACAAGAAATATGGAATATTTTTGGAATATACGAAGACGTACACACACTTGTTGGCGCTGTACTATTTCAGTTTTCTAATTTGTGATTTCAGCGCAAACGAGAGTTGATATTTAAAAGTGATAAAATGCCCATTTGCCTGTTGGGTTGCCAGTGATGGATGGCCCTTATTTCGGGTTATATACTCGATGATTCTGGGTGATATTCAAAATTTGCCATTTACGAAGTTTAAAACTATAGTGAAACAAAAAAATTATATTCTAAAGCAGGGTTTCTTAACCTGTGGTCCATGAACTCCTAAGGGGTCCATGTAATGAACGCTGTGGGTCCATGTTGAGCCTACCTAATACAACGCATTAATATATAATCTCAGACCTCAAAAGTGCGCGGAATTATATCTATTTGCCAAATTTTATTGAAACAGGTTACCGGAAAGTGCGCGGAACCGGATTCATCCCCTAGTTTGCCACCCTTATAGGTGAAATATTTGCTTTAAATTTAAATGGGACCACTTCTGAGGTACCCATTTTCCAACAAAAAAATAGTCAACGGAATTGGTTCGCAAATTTAGTTATCGCGTAACATACTTAGACAAAAAATATATACAGTGGAATTGGGAATCACCTCCATTTTTTGGAGTCGGTTAAACATTGGTATACAATATGTTGTGAATAAATAAGTAATGTGCGCGTGACCTTTTTGAATTTTCGCGCCCTTTGACGGCCATCGTCAGTGGGCTCTTTGAAATTTTTAGAGGGGCCCATGACAAGGTTAACAAACCCTGCTCTAAAGGTTATTATTGCTTCTCTGTACTTGGTGACAAAAAGCTGTGACAAAAACTACGTGTTGTGGACGTATTTTCGTTCAATGAGGATGCTTTTGAGTCTAACAGTAAATGTTTAATTAAATTTTTATTGAATTGATATTCAATTATTTTTTGTGAAATTACTCCACTAGTTTGTTATAATTATTAATACAAAGATCGAACACTCAGAAAAAAATACTTCGATCCGGTCGGATTCGAATCGACGTCTTCTTGCATACCGTGCCAGACGCTATACCAACTAAGCCACACGGAACGAACCAACAGACCTCACGAATTTTTCTACGTGCTTGCGTCGGTCTTTGTACTTGGTCTTTCAACGACTTTTTAGTCGTAGCGCCATCTATGAGAAATCTATGACAAATGTATGAGTAAATGTCTATTTTTCAGGTACTATGGACTGAATCCAACTAATAACTACTACATGTTCTTATTCTACAACTTCTTCCTGCATTATTTACCCGCTCTTTTCGTCGACATTTATTACGCTTTGACTGGAAGAAAACGGACGTAAGTATTAGCATAGCACAATAAAACACATAATGGTAACTCTGTACAAATGTAATAGCGCGACTTGTGTGTATGGATGCACGCCGCGCGCCGTTTACGGATGCACACATTCGCGGAATCTTAGGTTTCGTTTACACGCCATTATCCAACATGTTTTTCATCGTATTCGATTACAGTAGAGCAGTAGAGCTCTTTGTGAAAGATTACGTACAGGGAAGTACTGCTAGTTTACTTATTTCTGCCGCCAAGCGGTAATGTGAGCGCTACTGCGTTCCGGTTTGGAAGGGTTATTGTGCTGGTGCTGGTGAAATTACAGGCACATGTGACTTGTCAACTTATGTCTCATGGTGACGGGCGTAGTGGCGGTGCCCGTCAGATCTTTGAGATAAAGCTCTGAGTGGCGCTGCAACTGTTATGGATAGGCGCACGACTTGTTCGTCCCATCATTTAGTATTACAAACATTGACTTACAAATAAATGGACGACGGGTCTAATACAAAAACCACGAAAAAAATGTCCCAAGTCAACCTATTTAAACGTAGTGACATGTAAAGGAATATGAAAAAGCTAAAACGTTGAATTTAAATTGTAATGTCATCGCAGTACTGTCTAATTTTGCTTGCTTCGCTGTCAGTCGAACAAACGAAGACTAAAGCTTAATCACGCTCTGTATACGATTTTAAATCCCTATAAGTTCGGACACTATTTAGCGCGGACCCGACGTCCATATAATTGTATATAATTGTAAGTCAATGATTACAAAAGAAAAAACAATTCACCTGCACCTTACCTACCCTTCAAAATCGCAAGCTCGCTTGCTCGCCGGATTTAAGACCGGCTTAAGCCCTTGCGAATTTTCCCTGTAGTGTTACTTGATTATCGTGAACATGTCACGATAATAGGGTAGCCTGGTTTATGACGACGCACTTAAGGTTTGAGATGGTGTAGAATGAAAACAAAAAGTGTTAGAAAATCAGTTATTGTTTTAATTATTAATACAAAGATCGAACACTCAGAAAAAATTCCTTCCATCAGGTCGGATCGACGTCTTCTTGCATACCGTGCCAGACGCTATATCAAATAAGGCACGGAACGAACAAACGGACCTCACGAATTTTTCGATGTGCTTGCGTCGTGTCTTTGTACTTGGTCTTTCAACGACTTTTTAGTCGTAGCGCCATCTATGAGAAATCTATGACAGATTTATCACCCAGTTAGTATCTTTACAGCTACCAGTCCTGGCGAGAGATGTCGCTATTCACTGTATTAATTACATTTTTATTGAATTGATATTCAATTACTTTTTGTTTTTCAATTATTATCCGACCGGATCGAAGGAATTTTTTCTGAGTGTTCGATCTTTGTATTAATAATTATAACAAACTAGTGGAGTAATTTCACAAAAAATAATTGAATATCAATTCAATAAAAATTTAGTTATTGTTTTGTTTTATAGTCTACTTATCCGACTCTTACATGAAAAGTAGTTATATATAATAGTGTGGTTGTAATTGATAAAAAAGTGCAGAATGAGATTTGCGTACTCTTACACTGTACTATGGGTAAGAGTACGCATGTGCGTCGGCAAGAGTACGCAACACCTTTTTTGATAGGACTTCGTTTATAGGTTACAGGAATCACCTCCATACATTTCTGGTAATGTGATTTTTTGTCTCCGTATGCATGGACTTGTGGTGGTGGTACTTTAGGCGCACTTGTTGCCGATATATCAGACACATTCGGAGCACATGCCTCAGGTCTATTAAACCTTAAAAAATACTAGACTCTCGCAATAGGTTTTAGTTGATTTAGAACGAGTCACAGCGACGGAAATTTTATTTAGAAGTACACTGTTCTAAAAAAGATGGTATGAGACTACGCGCGTACTCTTGCAACACGTCGAGTTGCGTACGTTTGCACATTTCAGCCATTTCAGAATAAAACTGCTACTAACCCCATATGTTGCAAGTGACCAGAATCCTTTGCAGTTTGACCTCTAGACGAGTTTTTAAAAAATATGCTTAGTTTAGTGTCAGTAACAATTTGAAAATACCAATCAAAGTCAAAGATTATTTATTCCATAGGTAAAATAAATGTACACTTGAAAACGTCACATTTAAGCTACTGCTCGTTCACTACGCTGACCTCCCTGAGAAAAACGAGCAAGAAACTCTAGGGATTGCTCTTTTCAAATAAACTTAAATGCTATGGAATACACTTTGAATCAAATTTGTATGGATTCTGGAGCCGTGTCGTCTTTCCATACGTCTTTATCTAACACGCAGTCTTCAATTTTGTAATATGATTTTTCGATCAAAATGTTTTTAAACTTAGGAAATGATAAACTTAATATATGCTCCGGAATCTTATTGTAAAAACGTATACAGTTCCCCATAAAAGAGTTGTTTACCTTGGTTAAACGAAACCGTGGTACCATGTGTTTGGACTTAGCTCTAAGGTTAATATTATGGATATCTTCTTTCTTATTGAAATTATGTATATTTTTTTTTAAGTACACACAAATACATATGGTTTTCAATAAGTTTTGAATATTTTTCCGCACAACAAACACTGAACTTAGTTGCGTGTTGTAAATAACTTCTCGGCAATGTACATTGCGTACTCTTATCGGATGCGTCATCTTAGACCATTGCAAACGATTTTACAATAAGATTCCGGAGCATATATTAAGTTTATCATTTCCTAAGTTTAAAAACTACATTAAAAATATTTTGATCGAAAAATCATATTACAAAATTGAAGACTACGTGTTAGATAAAGTGTATGGAAAGACGACATGGCTCCAGAATCCACACAAATTTGATTCAAAGTGTATTCCATAGCATTTAAGTTTATTTGAAAAGAGCAATCCCTAGAGTTTCTTGCTCGTTCTTCTCGGGGAGGACAGCGTAGTGAACGAGCAGTAGCTTAAATGTAGCTTAAATGTGACGTTTTCAAGTGTAAATTTATTTTACCTATGGAATAAATAATCTTTGACTTTGACTTTGACTTTGACCAGGCTACTCTATGTATGTATGTAAATACTTTATTGTACAACAATAGTTATTTATTATTTATATGAATCCTGAGCGTAGCGAGGGTTTCAAGACACGAGACGCAAAACAACTTTGCTGCTGAGCGAAACACACAACTTTTCACCTCACTATAGCGAGGAAAATGGTAGACGAAAAAAAACCGTTATTTAATGTCAACAATAATAAGAATAAAATATACCAACGGATTTGTATTACATAAATAAGTAATACAAATCGCGTAGTTGAACGTGCATTATCTTTTTTTTTTCATCGAAAGAAAAAGTTAGGTGAACCACAGTCCATCGTTAAGTTTTTTTTTAAATCTTCATTTAATTTTAGAACTTTTGTTCTAGAGAACATGTCAGTCCTATCATAACTTTATTCTGACTGTCATGCAATTTACAGTAAAACTTATTTTTTATATTATTATTGCTTTAGAAGTACTACGTCAACTATCGCCGGTTTACCACGTCACACAACATTTTTGTCAAGGGCACACCCCGGACACTCCATACAACGATCGAAAATCATTTACCTACTACAACTACATACAGCAAGACGCTATCTGCACACGCGCAAATGTTCGCGTGTAGTGGCAGGGTTACCCATCACTTTCTTGCACTATTACGTTACGTGATATCCAGAATCCTAATATTTACACATGTCTATTATGTATTTATATCAATATAATATCATATTTTTCATTAACTCACTAACTAGAGTAATATTGAAGATTTATTTAAAAAATATATATTAAAAGCACTGAAAATGTTATAATTTGGACATGTACTTTTAAATAAGGTAACCAAGGTATTTGAAATTGCGTGTCCAAGTTGATCATCATTACTTAGTTAATTATTAGGATATTCGCTACTTACGTAATATTTATCAGCAATATGAATTGAAAATTCGAGAACCCTTGTCTACTAGCCCACGAAGTCGTGGCGCCTCATTATATTGATATAATAAATCTGTATTTTTATACATACATATATTGCAGTAAATAAATGAAGAAAACAACAACTGAATGAATCTCAGACATAAGTTTTTTTACTTACCTACTTCGTTTCATCTTTCGGAAAACGTTGATAAACAGCCGTACACAGCACAATTCACGATCATAAAATATTAATGTACAAGTTTCGTAATGAATAAATGAAAACTATATTCAAATATCAAAGCCGTCTTCGTGTGAAAACGGCTCGCCGGCAGCCTTTTTGTCGTTCAGTCAATGTGACGGGCAATGTGCGGGGCGTGATGCGGTATCTAAAGCCAGGGAGGGGCGGAGAGTGTCCGTTCTCTTTACTTTCTGTTCACAGAAACATCAGCAGCTGTACGCTGGCTTTCATTCTTGGTACATTCCGCAAACAAGTGTTGGACGTCTTCAATTTCGTTACAAACTTCACAATTTGGTGAATTCACTTCTTTCATAAGATATCCAAACTTGTTCGACGGATAATGTTCGGAGCGTAAACATTGTAACGGCATTTCGCCTGCTCAATTCAGAATTAATAAACCGTCAGAACCATTGACTTACAATTATATGGACGTCGGGTCCGCGCTAAAAAGTGTCCGAACTTATAGGGCGTTGAAATCGTATACAGAGCGTCATTCACGCTTTAGTCTTCGTTTGTTCGACTGACAGCGAAGCAAGCAAAATTAGACAGTACTGCGATGACATTATAATTTAAATTCAACGTTTTAGCTTTTTGATATTCCTTTACATGTCACTACGTTTAAATAGGTTGACTTGGGACATTTTTTTCGTGGTTTTTGTATTAGACCCGTCGTCCATTTATTTGTAAGTCAATGGTCAGAACTAATAAATCGTCAAGTTCGAATTTTCTTTCGAACTTTCCGAGCTAGTGAGGTGAAAAACAAATTACTCATTTTTTATAAAGAAATAAAACGATTTATATATTAATTGTTAAACTTATTCTGATACATATTATTAATACCGTAGTAGCCTAATGGTTCGACCTTCCAAGGGCCGTGGGTTCGAATCCGGGCTAGCACCTCTGAGTTTCTCGGAATTTTAATTTGAAATTTACAATGAGCTTTTCGGTGAAGAAAGTTCACAATGTGTGAAGTCTCCAACCCGCATTGGGTCAACGTGGTAGATGATGGCGTAAACCATCGCCTGAGAGGAGACCCGTGTACAAAAGTGGGAGGTATAAATGGGTTGATGATAATTACCTTACTCATTCGGATACATTATCTTACTTATTATTTATTATCTAATGTGAAGTATTCACGACAATATGAATACTGACTTTTCTCTTTTCTTTCAGAATGCTAAAACTCTACAACAAAGTCATGAAGTTGACCCACATTCTGTTCTACTTTTCAACCCAGGCCTGGAAATTTACAGACAATAATGTGATATCCATGTGGGGTGCTCTGTCAAGCGAAGACAAGACTGTATTTCCGTTTAGCATTGGAGAGATGAGCTGGGACTACATGTGCGAAACCTTTTTGCTAGGTTGGTATTTTTCTTTCGCATATGACTTTCCAGACACAAACAAATACGAAACAGTGTACTCCAAAGTGTCAAAAGTTATTTAATAAAATACACTTTGTTTCAGGTTTAAGGGTGTATTTGTTGAAAGATGATCTGTCTACGCTGCCTGAAGCCCGCAAAAAGTGGGACAGGTATAGTAAACTTTAACTTCATATTTATGTGGCAATTTTGGGTTGAATTGGATAGAACAGGGTAGCTAATTAAATTTTCATGCAATTACTTTTTTTTCTAAGTACTAACCATCGAGTATATAACTAGAAATAGAGACGAAATGTCATTTAATTAGTTTGAAAACTATTTTGCCAAATCATTACGATGGCAACTGCGCTCCGATTGGCCAGCCCGAACTCGAAACAATTGACGGACTTGTAACGGACGAAAATTTAAAAATATTTAATCACCGATGAAACGTGACTCCGTTTGTCTTGTAATTACATGTTTTTCTGTTTTTCCCCACACCATCGAATGGAACAGCCCTCTATTGTTAGAGATTTGATCTTTATTACAATAAATATAGAATACTTTTTGGAATATACGAAGACGTACACACAGGTCACTTGTTGGCGCTGTACTAGTTCAACTTTTTATTTTGTGATTTCAGCGTAAACGAGAGTTGACATTTAAAAGTGATATAAGGCCCATTTGTCTGATGAGTTGCCAGGGATGGATGGTCCTTATTTCGTCTCTATTTCAGGTTATATACTCGATGGTACCAACAGACTGATTATAAACAGAGTTATTTGTAAATAGAATAGAATAGAATTATTTATTTCGGACCATGATCCATAATAATGTTAGTAATACAGTAAATTTTACTTACGTGCTATGGTTAGTACAATACAAAATTACTTAATTTTAGTGAGAAGTGAGTTTAGACCACTACCCTACGCACGTGTAGTTGCACCCAATGTAGTTGGTAGGGGCAGTCCATCCTATTGGCAACAACTGTTAGGATGCTATTAGCGCTGCCGCGTACACGCATCATAAGTGAGGCAGCCTTCTTGCGCATAATGGCATGAAGGCATCTGTGTGCGCCTCCGTGAACATGCCGGATGCACTACAGTGTCGCGGCAGCCCCATCAGCATCCTAAAAGCGTTGTTAAAACCTCACTACTATATTACTTACATCATAAACCCAACTTTAGTTCCACGAGTTGTAATAAACACCTATCTAAGTGACTGAGGTTAAATAAAAATATTTATTTGTTATTTTTACTGTCTCGGACATGTCCAAAAAACTTATGTAGGTAATTATTAATACAAAGATCGAACACTCAGAAAAAATTCCTTCGATCCGGTCGGATTCGAACCGACGTCTTCTTGCATACCGTGCCAGACGCTATACCAACTAAG